GCTAAATTTACAGAGCCTTCACTCTCTGAAAAAATTAAAACAACCAAAAAGATAACAGAACAATTAAAAGAAAACAGTAAATTTGTCAAAAAAATAAGCCTATTAAGTATGTAGATTGGTAGAATGAAATAAATACATAATACAGAAAGAGAATTGTATAGCAAATTCCTAAAATGAAATTCTCATTTCTGATCAATATTCACAGGAAATAATGTGCTCAAAATTCATCCACAGACTTCCTGCAGTGATTGTGTTCACTGTTTGGGTTCATTGTACAGTTCAGTTGTCATATCTAATATGGGGTGGTCAATTATAGAAAAAGGGCTCTCTTAAGGAAAAAGGTTGGAACCACTGCTTTAAAAGCTGTAATGATTTAATCTTTAAACCACTATGTGTGGATTTCTTATGTGGCTTTCAAGTTATATTGATGACATATGCTTTGTTTGGAGAATTATAAGGGGAAGGATTATTGGGAGCATAGCTGTCTGCTACACTGTCATTATTATGATCACTGGGTGGCTCCAAAGGAAGGATTTATCCCACTGTATTTATATATATATTACCATAAGGGGGCTAATTAAGACAATATTTCAAAAGGTTCTTACATTTAATTCTCTGCGGTTTAGTCACATGTAGCCTACACATGTAGTACAAAAAAATTGGATTTAGGGCTTTAGGCCTTGATGAGTGTGTAATTAATGAGTCATAATGTGTTAAATGTCCACAGGAAGTGAGAGAATAGACAGATTCATATTAGTAAGTGCTGTCTGCATCCCTCCATTACCTTCAGAAACAGCCTGCTGAACAAGGAGCCCTGTGTTATCTCAAGCGATAGACTATTTCAAATAAACACACCCATGTGTCTACTGTCACCAACTCCTGTCTGTCCAAATAAACCTGCACTGTCGTTGATCCGTGGATGCGAGCAGCCAGCTTCCCCTCTGTGACCATCAGCCCGTCAGAGGAAAGCAAGAATTACAAACAGCTTCACATCTGTATCGTACGTTTGTCGGATGGGATGGTTCTTACAGTCTTACAGTTAAACACCCTGAGAGAAACAACATTTTTGCAAAGTGAGGTCACTTTGGACCAAGGGAAATTCTACTTTTTACAGTCTTGTTTTTGTAGTTTTGACCATAGTTCCTGTCTGCTGTGATAACACCAGCCTCATGACCCTGTAAAATCATCCAGTAGGACTTTACACTGAGATGATGTCCCACAAAAATGACTTTTCTAGGTTCTGAAAAGATTTAGGGAGTATTACAATTTCAAGATGTACAAATTCAAATTCATATAGTAATAACTCTTCTTGCAGATGGAGGTGTCTTGACGTGTCTCTTTTATAACTGAGGTCTATGGGGAAAGCTATAGGGCCTCTGAGGATTTTTTTGTTGAGGTACCACGATTAGCATCCAACACAAACTAGCAGCAAGGCTGACCACCACGCTATGTCAAACTCTCTGATTACATCTATGGTTACATTCCAAAAACTCTCAGTGATTGGAATTTCTGACCGGTACACTGATTTCACATAACACTGAATCATGTGTTTTGTACTCTTCACAATGAACAAAATCAAAACAGCAGAACCAGATATATCGTCTTTTTTATTCCACACATTCTTCTTCCTTGACAAAACCTGGTGCCTTCGTCATCCATAATGCAACTCCACACCTCCAGAATTCTTTTTCATTTTCAAACTTGTAGTCTTTGGCCCTGACTGACGCTGACTCAATATTTCTAAATAAAATACAAAACATTATTTGTTTTCTGAGAGGATAACACACTTTGGTTACAATCGTGAGAAAACTTTTTATCTTCAGTCAACAAAGTAATCAAATTAAGATCTCAAGATAGATTTTTACAAGCAACAGCAGTGGCTCTCAGTTTCCTTTTCATGCAGAAAGTAGAATACAAAAAGTCAGAATTTTACCAGTACTCCAGTGCTGATTTAGTGTGCACACACTTCAAAGGGATTCACAGTTAAAATAAGCAGCAATGTACCAAAGACCTGATGGAGTGGCTTGTATTCAGGCGAGCAGTTAAGGAATACATGCAGTGGGTGATGGTAGTCGCAGTATTACTAAGACCAAAATGTGTGTGTGTGTGTGCGTGTGACAGCATTGGCCGGGTCATCTTAAATTGCCCTTACAAGGGGACAGTAATGAAAGCATGTCTTCATATCCCCAGTCTGCAAAGAATGAATGACTTCATGTTTTGGAAAGAAGAAGAAAAAAAGCAGCGAGCACATGGAGCTGACTGCCTAAACACAGCGCTGGGCATTTAAAGTTACTGCTGTCTCTGGGATTCAGGAGTAAGTGTAGTGTATGAGGAGCATATGAGGAGTTTATATTATATACTCATCAAATACCGGCAGCTGGGTCCCTCTGCGTCAAAATATGACCCTCTAGTGTAATTTCTGGACATGCAGGGATCCATAGTGTAGTTAGCAAGAATAGGTAGTTAGCTCCCTTTTTCCTAAAGTGCAAATCAAAGCGACTGAAGCTATCATTCGTCCCAACCAATTAAGCTACTGAACTCTAATACTAATACTAGTGCAACAGTGCAATAAATATACCAGCACTTTAATTGTTAGTCTCTTTTTAAACCATCAAATTGTCAGTGTTAGAAGTACAGTCAAATGTCTCTTTAACGTTTTAAGATATTTCATGTTAGTTTTGGGATTGGTTTTCTAATGTTTTTTATGTGAAGCAATGGGATGCAGCTCTGTGCCCAAGACCCCTTGGAAACAATATAGTTCTCTCTCTCTTATAAATATGCAACGTCTTTTGAAGTTAGCAATAATAAATATGCAACATCTGGTTAGACCAAAATAAATAAAGCTTGCTGAGTGTATGTGGGTTATGATTACGGCTCATTTACACAACTGAAGTACTTCATGTAAATTACATTTCGTACAGAAAATAACTGAAGTTTTTTTACATTGATGTATTGGTATATTTACTTGAGTAAAGATTTCAATATGTCCTCCACTGATATCAGCAGTGTGTCCAGCATCGGTCTTCTATCTCTGCTTATGTTGACTGAGAAGCAGTCAGTGAGAGAGCTGACTGGCTGTTCGGTCTGGTGAACCAGGGATGTCATCCGTTCCTCTCCTCTCTCTCTTTTCTTCTTCCAGCAGCAAAACCGTTTATTTGAAAAAGCAAAGCAAAAACAGTGCCAATACAACTATATATGACACATATTCTTCATTTTTATTCCAGGCATATGCATGATGAACTGTTTAATCAGATTCAGAGCGGTGTGACAAGTTTGTTTTGTTCCTTCCTGTGATATCTTTTGGATTAAGAACACAGACAGACAGACTGGGTATTTGCTGTCAAGCAGGTGCAGAACATGTGTATGTTTCAGCTGGCAGTCAGCTTTGGTCTTTACCAGATGTGAGGCAATTTGAGGCAGTGTAAAGTGTTTAATGAGTCTGTTTCTGTTGGCATACATTTGTTAGCTCCATGTCCCAGAATCCAACCACTATTCATGTAGGTATCTGACCAGCAAACAGCATCCAGGATCTAGGATCCCTCATCTGCTTTCCACTCAAACACTGCCAAGCTCTCTTTAGCTGGCCAATGGGAGCTCCTGTTACTTCTCTGTGGTTGAATCTCATCTTACACAGTGATTAAAGGAATATGCAGCTCAACATTTTGGGAAATACTGAGATGGAAATCAATCTCATCTCTGTGTGTTAAGTACAGAGCTGGGGTGAAGATATGATTAGCCTAGCTTAGCATAAACACTGTGTGTGCAAAAGTACACCTACCAACACCTTTAACTCTCACTGATCAACATGTTTTACCACACACAAACAGAAATGAAAGTGAAGATTTGCAGTTTGTTGGAACTATTTCTTGATACAATCTGTATCACTGTATGTGACTTGATGTTTTACAATTAGGGGGCTTCAAATAGACACTTTGGGACACTGGGATGACTCAACAATCAACAATATTCAAGCCTCCAAGGCAAAGTTTCATTATATCTTTCTCTGATTGGTTGCTTTTGTCCAGGTCTGGTGGATTATTGTATGTTATTAGGAGCTGGCAGCAGGACGCTAACTGCAGTTAATTTAATGGCAGTTGTGTATAGAACATCAACATAAATAAAGATGGTGATATTACAGCTTCCCAAAAGTGAAGCCAAAACATCTTGATCCCTTTTATCTGTTGGTGCTTTTAAAAAGCATTTAGTAATCCTGGGAACATTTACAGTTAATGAAATAGAAATATAATAAATCCTATTTAGGAATTTGGTGCACTCTTGACCCCAGTGCGCTCCCTCTGACTGTCCCCACCAGACCCACCAGAAACAAGGCAGAATGTGACTTTAAAGTCGAATTATGAGGTCATACGCGGCCACACGGATGTTGCCAACATCTGAGCTCCGTCGCCACGCCTCCAGGAGCGCAGCTGCTCTCCACATCTTCCCTCACTCTCTCTGGCCAGCTTCACTGCTAGAGGCACTCACCCTGCAACTGACTGTATGTTTACTCAGCCTGGGCAAAGGCAAGGCAGAAAACATCACATCCAGTCTCAGTCCTCTGGTGCTTTGTTGTCGCTGAACGCTAAATTACGCAACAACCTACGCTACAGCTGCATCGTCGAGTTCCGGTATCAGGATCGCTTTAATCTGATGTATTTTGCAACATTAAACGGACATCTATTATTCTGTTTTCCGTGTAAGTGAATTCCCATCTGTAAAGCCTCCCGAAAGTGATGCGCAGTGAGGAGCCAGGGAATATGATCTCCGCGTAAACTTCTCCTCACTTCTCTTAGTTTCTCTCCGCTCAAAATCCTCCATTGAAAATGCAAATCCTCCTGTACGCAGCTGTCTTCCTTTACCTCAAGGAGTCTGCCGGCGCAGAGCCGAAAGCCAAGTGTCCAACGCGGTGCGATGTGAGTACCTGTCCGAGTCCCAGCTGCCCCAGCGGCTACGTGCCGGACCGCTGCAACTGTTGCCTGGTGTGCGCCCAGGGAGAGGGAGAGCCGTGCGGCCGCAAGGACGACCTACCGTGCGGGGACGTACTGGAATGCAAACATCCGGCGGGCAAGCGGCTCTCCAAGGGCGTCTGTCAATGCAAGTTGAGCCAGGAAGTGTGCGGCAGCGACGGGAAGACGTACGGCAACGTGTGCCAGCTGAAGGCGACCAGCAGGAAGGCTCTGCAGCAGGGACTGCCGGGCATCACCCAGATCCAGAAAGGACCGTGTGAGACAAGCATAGGTACGATTTACGCAATGATGGCTTCATTATTTGGTACACCAGACAATAATAGGAAGCACTTGACAGGACTGTAAAAAACTGGCTGCTGTGGTTGCCAGAACTGTACAGTAATACGTCATTAAAATTGTGTGTGTGTATATATATATATATATATATATATATGTAGTCAAATACTATATATAAACATTATTCACAATGCTTTACATTATGGTTTACAGTTTGGTGTATGAATATCTTTTCATCATGGTCGCTGATATGTCAACGGGGCATTAGAGTGATGTTATGTTATGTGGAATAGGTTTCCACATTTAAGTAGTAGTTTCAATTTGGAGTTAAAAGTGACAACCGATAAATAGGCCCAGCTAAAATATTGGCTAAACTGATAAGTAACTGTAAATATCCATATAGAATTGTTATCTTTGAGGCTATTAAACTGTTTGTTCACCAGAGAGCACTGATTTGCACTGAAATTTTCTTTTTTTTCCAAAATTCTTTTGGTCAAATCTCTGAAAAACAATATGTCCCAATATATTAGACTGTTTACCCCATTGGGCCTCATTTCATGTTTATTATGTCCAGGTAAAATTACGAAATTTTTGTTGGTCGAATCAATTCAATTCAATTTCATTTCAATTTTATTCGTATAGCGCCAATTCATAACAGAAGTTATCAATCAGAAGGTTGTTGGTTCGATCCCCGGCTCCTCCTGCCACGTGTTGAAGT